TATTTATAAATAACATGGTTTGACGGTAGAGTACAGTTTTTATATGTTTACAACATATTTTCTTAGGACTGATGAAGAATTGTCTCATTTAAATAATAATTTTTGGAGGATTTTTCTTCCATTCGTCTTTAATTGTTTATATCTGAATCTGACTCTGAATCTTTGTTATCACTGACTCCAGGCTAAAACCCCGGAGCAATAAAAGTAATACATGGAAATAAACACTGTTACAAACAACATGATTCAGTAGCGAAGTGGCGAAGTTCAAGTATCTTTTGCAGTTTGGTAGAGATCACACTATAGATTCAACTATTTCCAATAATTAAATTAGTCAATTAAATTGCGTGAGAAAAATTTGGTAAAAATGTAAATGTAAATAATGTAAATAATGTAATAATTACATTTTGCACAGAATTATTATTTTTTTACACATTCGTTGTTTGTAAATAAATAATTCAGTAGCGAAGTGGTAAAGTAGTTTAAGTCGACTTATCTTCCAGTTGAATTTTTGAGGAATATTTCCGAATCTAAGGGAGATAGCAAAATTTTCAGAATCATATTTGTCGTAGCTCTCAATCGGCTCTACAAAAAAGGTTAGAATACAAAATTTTCTATCTCCCTTAGATTCCGAGATATTTATTGAAAACTGGCCAATAGTAAAAATTAACTTATACTGGTTTACCACTTCGCTACTGAATTGAAATTTAAATAAATAATAAATAAATTTATTATTATTGAAATAAATAATAATAATTTAAATAAATTTAAATAAATAATAAAATAAGTAATAAATAAATAATTGTCGTTTAAACTTTCGGAAACCTAATTTTTTTAGGCATGAAATGGATTTCTGGTGAAATTCTGAATATGAATAAATTTGTTACGATTCCGGACAAATGATTTTTATGATGGAAAACTAATTGCTTATTTATTGTTTATATAAAATGCTCGTGATTTTCAAAAATTGCATTTTTTTAATCGTTTCACCAATCTTCCTCCAAAAGTAAACTTCTTAATTTTTCTTTTGATTTTTAAAATGTTTTCTAACGGCTCAATATTGAGATTTAAATTCAGACTGGCAAAGTTTAAATAATGAAATCATTGCAAAAAGTCTGGTAACTTAATGTCGAATGGGGCTGAAACGAAAGCTCTGATGTTTGACAACAAAAGTAAAAAAGGATTTCACTGAAGAAAAAGGAACCAAATTACTTCGATATCCTTAAGTCGATTTTTACTATTGATCAGTTTTCAATGAATATCTCGAAATCTAGAGTAGATATCAAAATGTTTGTCATGACCTTTTTTGTAGCACTCAATTTGCTCCACAAAAAAGGCAATTACGAGAATTTCGTTATCCCCGTTAGTTTCGGAGATATTCCGCAAAACTCAGCTAAGGGCTAAATCGACTTGAAGCGTTTTACCGCTTCGCTACTGAGTTCAAGCGGCAAATCCAAGTATTCGAGCAGAATTCTATTCTAAAAAGAACATACACTTAAAGTCGATAACTATCGATATCTCGCAAGTCTGTCACGCTTATTCCTCATTGGCTCCAGTCGTCTGAGGCGGCAAATTTAATGCATGATGATTAATTTAATTTTGAGATTTTCAATTATGATTGTTACAATTACAGCGCGCTGTAGCGCGCGTTCGGTCTCGTATAATAATAAAAGTCGTTAAAAAAATATCTAAAAGTCTCTAAGCACAAAAGTCAGCGAATACAGGGCGAAGTAAGTGAAATCAAAATGAAAAATTCTAAACCCTGGGAAAACAAATTACTTTTGCCAAGAAATCATTCTCTCGGGAAAATTCATTTTTTTGCGAGCGTATTTCTCCAGGCCGGTCATTCCCAGGTGTTCCAAGTCCACCTAAAACATTACAATTACGTTAAATTATGGGACGATTATGCTACATACGACCTTGAATGAACTCCAGTGACAATCATCCACGTTTAAAATTATTCCAATTCCTCAAATCAAAAAAATCTAAATTTCAAAATAGTAAAGATAAAATATCAAATCTCTTATTTCAAATCTCAAAATTGAAAAAATTGCAAAATAATGAAGAGTGTTTACACAAGGTCATATGCAGCACAATTATTTCATAATCCAACATAATCGTGAGATTTGGAAAAATCTTCAAATCCCTAAAAAAATAAATTCTCCCAAGAAATTGATTCCTCGGTAAAACTAATTCTTTTTCTCAGTCCACCTCAAGAATAGGGTAAGCTACCCAGTAGATGGACACTGCCCTATAGATGGCCGAGCGATTTTTGGATAGAAAATTACGCAAAAAAATGTTGAAATGTGAATTGTAGCTTTGAATTTTCACCAACTATTGTGATTGAGCCCCTGAGTGGCGATTTTTTTTCGATCAATTTTTTCTTCAGCTGCTAAAAAACAAACGTCCACCTACTGGGCAGTTTACCCCACCATATTTCGACACCGACCGAGTGAAATCCCCCAATTTTCATTTCATCATAAAATATTTTTTTCATCACGCTGTGACGAAAAGTGAACTTTTCGGCACGCTCCGCGTGCCTAAAAGTCCAATTTCCGCCAGATTGTGATGAAAAATATTGTTCGTAACTCGTGAAAAAATATTTTTTAGCTCGTGGGATTATATCACTCGCCTTCGGCTCGTGATATAAACCTCCCACTCGCCAAAAAACACTTTTTTGCACTCGTTACGAAATATACTATTTCGCCACTAGGCCTGATAAACCGCGATTTTAACCTCGCTTCGCTCGGTTAAGGGTGCCAAGTGAATTTGAAAAAATATTCAAAAAAAATTTTTTCTTTCCTTCCGTCATTGGAGAAATCCATCCGACGAAATTTCAAACCCGCAACCGGAACTAGACATCGAGAAAATAAATGCGGAAAATCCTCTAGTTCGCGTGACGAACCTCGAGAAAGCATGGGATCAAATGGGTACGGTGGGTTGAAATATCTCTCTTATTCACCCCGGTACCCCACTGTTTTTTGTCGCCATCACATTGAACACATCATTCCCCATATCTTCAAATTTTTTCAAATTTTTCTTGAGTTCCTAGGGGGTTGAAACGTTAAATTTAATCAAAACTCCATAAGAGGCCGTGCATAAGACTGATTTTGTTTATTTAATTTCTCGATATCCATAAGTTCTAAAATTTTAAAATTGTCACCGATGTTCACCATCTGTCTAGTATTATTAATTTAAAAAATTATAACTTTGTTGGTGAATGTCAATTTTCAAGGTCATCGCCAAATTCACTTGGCACCCTTAAATCGCGGTTTTCGGGTTGAATGACAAAATAGTATATTTCGTAACGAGTGCAAAAAAGTGTTTTTTGGCGAGTGGGAGGTTTATATCACGAGCCGAAGGCGAGCACTCAACAACAATATTTTTCATCACATTGTGGCGGAAATTGGACTTTTAGGCATGCGGAGCGTGCCGAAATGGTATATTTCGTAACGAGTGCAAAAAAGTGTTTTTTGGCGAGTGGGAGGTTTATATCACGAGCCGAAGGTGAGTGATATAATCCCACGAGCTAAAAAACATTTTTTCACGAGTTACGAACAATATTTTTCATCACAATGTGGCGGAAATTGGGCTTTTAGGCACGCGGAGCGTGCCGAAAAGTTCACTTTTCGTCACAGCGTGATGAAAAATATTGTTCGACACACGGCCGTGGGAACTTTTCTACCTCATATGATTACAGAACTCGCCTTCGGCTCGTCCTGTAACGCCATATGTGTCCTCATATCCGCCAGAACAATTCCTCACGGCCTAGTGTCGAAATGTACTATTCACTTTCAAAATGAGCCGTGACATATCCAAACGTCATAATTTCCTCCTGAGATATTGGCGATTGAGGCCGGTTCGTTGCACCCCACCGGCTTCAATATCTCGTTTTATCCTTTATTATCACGTTCTTATCGATTATAATTTTCTCTGAAATTTAATTACCACGGCATTGTCTTCAAAACGAAAGCGTCACGGTTGAAAAAACAAACGTGAATGAAACAATGATGCCCTCTGATTATTTATCCTCGATGATTTTTTCAGACAAAGAACCACACGTGCTCTAGACTCTAGAGACTGCATCGTGTTATTTTTAGATTTGAGGATGGCATTAGCATTCCCGAGATGGAGTAAAATACAATCTATCAAAAACCACGCCCTTGTCGCTTCTCTCCTCCGTTCTGTTCAGCTCTGTCTCCATGGCCCTCTCATCACCTCCCCCCACCAGTTCAAGTACAAAAAACCGGCTGTTGTCGTTCGATTCTGTCTAATCTCCTGTCATTAGATAGAAAAGAATCATCGAGCTCTCGAGTGAAATAACCCCCGAATTAACAACGCAATTCATTAAAATTTATTCACTCATCGGAAATTAACACTCAAGGACGGGAGTCAAAAATACTGAATACCTAAATGATGATACAACTCATGAAGAATCAATGACTCTTTGTATTGATTCTAATCGATGAATTACGAGGATAATTTACCGGGCGGAATTAATTTTCGAAAATGCGCAGATCGAGAAGCACTCGAATTCAGTAGTAAAGTCGCGAATGCAACGAGTCGAATTTTCCGCTCTTCTAATTTCCGATTTATCTCGTTAATGAGAGGACCTAGAGGAAAATTGATTGAGACCTTTTTTGTGGGGAATTTCCTCCTCCACAAAAAATGTTTTATCACATTTTTCGCTAAACCTACTCGTTAACGAGATATTTGAATAAGTGGAATTGTCAGAATTGAGTGAGTGATGAAGCTTTCATCGAGAGGAGACGATTTTTGGGTTTTCAGAGTATTTAAAGGTCTGATGATGTTTACAAATTTCGGAGCGCAGTTTTGGCGTAACGACGAGGGGGAAGAGAACCGGTAAAAGGAATTCAATGACGTGTCTTCCATATTCGGAGCAGTTTGGCGCAAATCGAATCGTTTTATTCTCAAAAATGAATTGAATTTGTGAGTGAATTTGTTTTTTTTGGGGATTTTTTGAGTGATTTGGGGTCACTGACCTGGCGAAACTCGAGACGATGACTTGATGAACTCCAAGGGGTTGGATACTGCCTCCTATTAGTCACTTTTATCGGGAATACTCAGTGTGTTTGAGGGTAGAGTCGAGTTTATACTGGACGTACGGTTAGTAGTTCATGGCATACAGGCCCAGACCAACCGGGCTTGTCCCCTTCGCCGGCAACTCGATTTTTCCCCTTCCAGTGTTCGTCGCCAGCTACGTGTACTAACTGCCAATTGGAGTTGCCAGGGGTCCCCTCTACGCTGACGCCATTGCACACCCCGGCAACCCCTTTGTGAGTCACTTTCACACGTCAGAGGGAACTCGGAATTCACTGGGAGAATCGGGGAAAATCTGGGGGGCTCGTGCGGGTTTCAAGGGGTAATTGATTGAGAAATGTTTTTGGTAATTTTTAAGGAGATTTGGGGGGCGAGGAGGAGAGGCGATGACGCTGGGGAGAATGGAGAAAAATTGTTCAGGGATTTTTTTCAGGATTATTTTTTCGGGGTGGTTTTGCCGTTCGGAGCAGGGATTGCCATATTCATAAATCATAATTACCGTTAAATTTTGGAGCTGTCCATTAGCTAACATCACTCGTAAATCATCAATTAAATATTCAAATTTTTAACTATTTTATTAATCAATAATTTAGGGGGGAAGATTGTTGATTATTTGGTTAATCGAGAATCCCTTTTGAGAAATTAGAAATATTCTCTTAATGGAAAATTTACAGTTGATTGAGAAATGTTTTTGGTAATTTTTAAGGAGAGTTGCGGGACGAGGGGGAGACGCGATGACGCTGGGGAGAAATGGAGGAAAAATTGTTCAGGATTATTTTTTCGGGGTGGTTTTGCCGTTAGGAGCAGGGATTGCCATATTCATAAATCATAATTACCGTTCAATTTTGGAGCTGTTCATTAGCTAACATCACTCGTAAGGTTTTAATTATTAAAAATCATCAATTTAAATATTCAAATTTTTAACTATTTTATTAATCAATAATTTAGGGAGGAACATTGTTGATTATTCGGTTAATCAAGAATCCCTTTTGAGAAATTATAAATATTCTCTTAATGGAAAATCTACAGTTGATTGAGAAATGTTTTTGGTAATTTTTAAGGAGATTTGGGGGACGAGGGGGAGACGCGATGACGCTGGGGAGAAATGGAGGAAAAATTGTTCAGGGATTTTTTTCAGGATTATTTTTTCGGGGTGGTTTTGCCGTTAGGAGCAGGGATTGCCATATTCATAAATCATAATTACCGTTAAATTTTGGAGCTGTCCATTAGCTAACATCACTCGTAAATCATCAATTAAATATTCAAATTTTTAACTATTTTATTAATCAATAATTTAGGGGGGAAGATTGTTGATTATTTGGTTAATCGAGAATCCCTTTTGAGAAATTAGAAATATCCACTTAATGGAAAATTTACAGTTCCGTATTATCAAATATTTAATTCATCATCAATCGGAAATTTGAATTATTAATATTAGGGGAGACTGGGGAAAAATGAAACAGTCAAAAAGACAACTGTTTGACGCAACTCAAGCAAAAAAAAATTTTTTTTTCATTAAATATTTGTTTTTGTTAACTTTTTTTTATTCTTGGGAGTAGGGAAGGTTGGGGTAAAACGGACAGTTTTGACTTTTTTAAGAATGTTAATGAGAAGTTGAAATGTTGATGAAATTTAATAATTTTTTCTTCCAATGCAAAGAACAATTCTTTCCCTTTGTGACGAGCCTAAACTGAGCTGAATTGATAAATTTGTTGCTGAGTTATGAATAATTTGAAAAAAGTCTAAAGTGTCCATTTTACCCCACCCACCTCTACTGATGAGATAACAATGTTCAATTAAATAGAATGGAAAATTATTATTCTTCTCAATACTCTCAAGAATAAAAAAAAGTTGATAAAAAATTTTTTTTTGCTTGAATTGCGTCAAACAATTGTTTTTTAACTGTTTCAGTTTGTCCCACTCGTCCCTATATTATTTCCAAATTTTGATGAGTATATTTAAACATTTATCAATGGAAGTCGCAAATCCTTTTAATATTGAAGAAATATAGTATTGATGGCCATACCTGAAGTTAAAAATGAAAAATTTTCAATTTCATTCGACGACCGTTTGTTAAATTTTCAATAACTCTTCATCGATTCATTTGATGGATCAAATTTAACAAGGAATTGTAGATATAAATGATCGCGCCCTGCTCATTTTTTTTCAAGGTTTGAGCTGAATTCAGTAACGAAGCGGTAAAACGGTTCGTCGACTTAGCTCTCTACTGATTTTTTGAGGAATATCTCCAAATCTAAGGGAGATAGCGAAATTTTCATAGTTAGCTTTTTCATAGATCTCAATTCGCTCTACAAACAAGGTTATAACGACAATTTTGCTATTTGCCTTGGATTCCGAGATATTCATTGAAAACTGATCAAAAGCTAAAATCGACTTAAACCTTTTTACCGCTTCGCTACTGAATTATTCCTTTTCAGTGTTTCTAGAAGAAACTATCAGACATGTTTCGTGAAGAATTCCGTCAGCTTCATAGAACTCCGGCCCTCCGCTCTCCCATCCCTCGTTCCTAAAATATCTACAAAATAAAATACCTGAAACAATTTCAATCTCTAAAACTCTTCTCATTAATTTCCCGAGTATCTCAATAATCATCAAGTCAATTAGAAAATAGCAGTTAAAATTCTTTGAACTTCGTAAAATTCCCCACGAAAGAAACCCTTTCGCCAGTTCCCCCTGGGGTCCCCCGCCAATTACCAGAGACTTAACTTTGATTCCAATCAACCAATCCTCCCATTTCCCCTGAAATCACCGACACGCTCTCATTACCGTCAACTCAACGAATTAATTACTAAATTACAGCCATTAATGCTACATATATCATCAACGACATCACCGTTAATTCCGGAACTAAACCCTAGTAAAAAAATCAAGCAAATTCCTGACGAGTTAAATCAATTTAACCATTTCAAATTAAATCTCCAATTAACCAACGCTCGTTAAACAGCAAACAATCTCTAATATAACTGTTTCTGAGGCGTTTTCTTTATTTCGTTTAAACCCATTTCGAGTGGGGCACTGACAAGTACAGAGACGGGGGGTCGAGGAGGCAGTGCTCGATGACTCATTTCCCCCAGCTGCGTCGCATGTGTCTCCATGATGCACGTGCTTGTAAAAATTGCGACGACAACTGATAAAAACTCATGACTAAACTCACAAGTATTCCCCGTTCGCACATATTCACGACGAAAATATCTAAATGAATGGAGAGAGAATAACAGTCTGCGCATGGAAATGTTTCTCTGATGATTGATGATCAGTTGCAGGACAACGAATTTGTTTCGGCGAAAAATTTTCGACGATTGCATTGTAGGATATGCAAGTATTTTTTAGTTTGGGGCAGAACGCACTATAGATTCAATCATTTTCAATCATCAAATTTGCTGTTTAAGTTACGTGAGAAAAATGGAAAAGAAATCATGAATATTCAGCGTCATTCAAATTAAATTTTATACAGAATTATTTTTTTTACAATCTTTCTTTATAAATAAATAATTGATATTGTTTAAACTTGTGGAAATTTTATTTTTTAAGGCATAAAATCGATTTCTCGTAAAATTCTAATTGTGAGTAATTTGTTACGATTCCGAACAAACGATTTTTATGGTGGAAATTTGATTGTTTATAAATTATTTATAGATAATGCTGGTAACTTTCAACAATTGCAATTTTTCAATTATTTTAGCAATCTTCCTCCAAAAGTAAACTTTCTAATTTTTTTCAGATTTCTAAAAATGTTTTCTAACGGTTCAATATCGAGGTTTAAATTAAGACTTGCAAAGTTTAAATAATAAAATCATTGTAAAATTTCCGGAAACTTAGGATCCGGTGGGGCTCAAATGAAAGCTCTGATGTTCGACTACAAAAGTAGAAAAGTATTTCACTGGAGAACAAATAGTCAAAGTACTTCGATATCGTTAAAAATTTCAAGGAACACAAGACAAATTTCCGTCGATGGCTGATTTCAGTAGCGAAACGGTAGAACCATTCAAGTCGACTGAGCTCTTAGCTGAGTTTTTGAGAACTTTTTTTTTTTTATGCATGATTCACTTGCTAGAAGCGAAAATATAAATAAAAATAAACGAAAATGTGAAAAAGTAGGCTGAATCCAATGGTCGAAGAACAATTAAGATACCCAGGCATATAATAAAAATATTCAGATCATTTTACCCCCATATAATACACTATCTAACATATTAATAATAAAATTGGATTGGTGGATTTAAATTTATTTCTAAAGGGAGGAGATAACTTCATAAATGAAAGAGGAATCAACATTATTTTGACTATTTGCAGTTTTGGATAAACTTCAACTAAATAAACAAATATTGTCTCAATGATGAAAATTATCAACAAATCCCTGAGAAATAACTGAATCAACACTGTAAATGCGTTCATAAAATTTTCAAATAGAGAAAAGTAGTGAACAAACTTCTGAAGATCAACAAAATTGCCTGAACGACTTCAATTCAGCAGACATGACTGAATAAAGTCATTTGTCCAAAATTATGTAGTTCAATAGTTAATCAAGAAGGGTGATGAATAATTTTTCAACTATGGAGTGAAAAAAACATTTCGTAATAAAAAACCAAAATTTTTCACGACTGTGGGATGTCTTTATTGATCATAATAAGACTTACCTAGATTTTAATACACATCACATTATCATTAATTTTCATCATCTTATTCATAATGTACTCAGGGAGGGGGGGGGAGAGGATTATATACAAAAAGCCATGGTAAAGGCAGAAAGCCTCATTTTGCTGTCTCCCAAAAGATTATTATCAAGTTATTACATCGAACAGATCATTGAATCGAATTTTCTTAGTCTGTCACAAATGTACAGTTCAATGATTATCCATTTTTCATGAGAGGAATTTTATAATTTACTTCTAAATGCGTGCGAATGTGTAATTATTCATCATTTTTCGTTCTCTTGTCACATTTATTACAATTTTCTGGCGTCGGAACAAAAAAAACCAAAGACCATTGGTTGAATAGAGTCAATTATTAATCAATTAAACACGACTTATCACCTATAAAATTCGAAAATCAATTCGTATTATTGAACTTATCGTCTCAATTGACAAAAATACATTTCAAAAGTGATGATTCAAGAGAATGTGCAAATTTTTCATTTTCGAATTGAAGAATAAAATTAATTGAATTCATAAACGA